ATATGGCTCTGATGATTGTTGATAACTTGATCAAATCCATGAAAAATTGAATACAAGCAGTGAAACTAGCAAATGGAGGATCTACTCCATACTAGTTCCAAATAGTGTTTATTTATGTTGAGTTGGGATTACATAATTAAATTTTGAAATTGGATGTAGTTTATTTCTCCTGGCTAAAAATTTTCCCTAGGCTACTGTATAATAAATAAGTCATATTTATTTAGCCCAACTATCATAAAAAAATGAATTAGTTGTGATTCAATTACAACTTTGAAGTAATTTTGTTTATTTCCATAAGGAAATTCTTGTTTGAAAACTGGGTACATAAATGTCACATTTGATTTGGGGGAAAAAACTTTCCTATCAGCAAGTGGCATTTGTGATAATGTATTTTAGAGTATATACTAAATAAAGGCTCAGTAATTTTAATGGAAAATAATTTATTTCTTTGTCAATAATAACTTAATACAAGAATGTTTCTTTGAATTTTATATTCATTCTTTTACCAAATACATTCCTTTTAAATACCTCTTTGCATTAAGTAAGCCAAAAACGTTGTTTTTTTTATTTTTTATGTTGGGTTACATCAAGAACAATTTTAATTAATTTCATCCAAAATGTTTAAGACAGCTGTCATATCAACAGCATTTAAAAATGTCACAATTCATGTTTATTTGTTTATAAATTATAGCATAGAAGAAATAAGATACATTTTACGTTTTCTTATTATTTAGTTAAAGTTCAACTAAAAAAAGTTGTTGGTTATGAAAAAGTAATGTTAATGATCGAATGTGTAAAAAATGATTTGTGAAATTTCATGTTGGATATTTTTCATTCCATGTTTGACAAACTGAGTTTAAGAACAGTTAAATCAAGACATTGTTTAAGAATTATCAATATTTTGTGATGAGGGGGATGGTTAACTTATTCAAAATATGTGAATCAAGTACTTAAAAAACATTTACACTTGCTTAGTTAAATTAGATTAGTATGTAACCTTTAGAATAGAACTTTGCTGAGAAATATACAAACTTGTGGGAAGATGGAATCAGGAAACTGCTTGAAAGAAACCAGAACATAGCAGAACAAAGAATAATTAAATTGTTCAATATAGTTAGTCTCGAAAAATTCAAAATTACATACGTGAAAATCTGACTTTTTAACCAATTTATTAAACCGAATAAAGTTTTTAGGTGAACCAATATTTTAAAGGGAGGTTATTTTATAATGTTTAATTGTAATTACTTCCCTTGTTGATTCACAATTTCTTTTGGAAAATGGTTCCCCAAAGTGTTATGATGTCTTTTTTGTTATGAATAGTCACGTTTGATTGAGGAAAAGAAGAATCCCTTATTATATATATATATATATATATATATATATATATATATATTCAGTTCAGGTAACTTACACAAGTTATATTAAAAAATTTGCCATTTGCAAAGTTACGAAAACCCCTATAAAGTAATCAAAATCAAGCTCTTTCACAAGAACTGTTTTCAGATAGTTCAGGCAGTTTACGCAAAGTTATATTAAAATGAGATTTTTAAAATGTGAAAAGATTATTTTTTTGGGAAAATTGTAATGTGGAGTTTTTTATTATCAATAATATATGAAAAAACTCTATATTACAAATTTTTAATTTTTATTTTTTTATATTTTAAGAAATTACACGGAACAGGCACATTTTGTTTTGGCTTTCATAGAGGGATAAATTTATATACTGTTAACTTTTATAAAATTTAATAAATTTCCCTTTTTAATATTCATGATCTGGAGTGCTTAATGTGTCGTAATATGATAAAAAATAAGAAAAATTATTATTTTTTGTTGCAGTGATTTTTTGTAGACATCCACAACAGTTTGATTATTCACAATGTTTATGGAAATATACATATGGCTGATATAAAGAAAGTTCATAAGTATGAGCTTATTAAGAAGTGAGTGTGTAGTTTTATGAGGGTTATATTTTGTGGACTCATATGGAAGAGAATGAGAAAGTGAATGTAATTATATAAATGTATGGGAGTTATGGCCGTTTTGTTTCTGAATGTAGTAGCCACTGTTTGACGATATGGTGAAGGAGGGTATGTTTGTTTTCAGTGTAACAAGGAACAGTTTAACCATGTAAGGTCACCAATTAGTCATGCAAATGTTGTATTTTGTCTTTGGGTATGACTGCATTATCAGCGAAAAGATAAAATTATTTTGTTGACTTTTCTTATTGGTTAGTTGAACTATTTTTAGAAATGGGCAAAGTCTCCTTGTTATTATTTGTTTATTTCTTTTCTTATGTCCTGGTTGTGAAAGCTTTCTGATTGGTTAGTCGAACTATGGCTTTATTTGCCTGGCAATTTTTCTTAACCATCTATTTTTAGAGATGGTGAAATTTTGGTGCATTTGGATTCCAGAGGATGGAAAGTGTGATACTGAAATCCCTAGGTGCATTGGTATAGCCAAATCAATATTGATATGGCTTATCAACCCTTTATGGGTTATTTAAATCTGAAACATATTTCAGGTGTGCACAGTTTGAAAGAGAGAAATGAAATAACGGAATTAGCTTTATTCAAACCATAGGATCCTTGAAACATCACTGCACAAACACATCATGAGAATGGCAGCAAGAACTAAAAATATTTTCTGACTAGTCAACTGCTATATGCCAGGTCTCTTCAGGACATAGGAAATCATGGCTCTCCACAATCTCCAACCCCATGCAGCGAACTATTACTATGTTTGTTATTTTTATTATCCCTCCTGCTCCCTATTCTGTCATCCATTGACATAAGCTTGACATGTAGTTGGCTCGCTGCCTCCTTCAGTCCTTGTGAGTATCAAATTTTCCAAGCTCTCATTTCTCATTATGTCCTAGAAATTTCAGCTTTGGCTTTCTGATTTTTTATCAATTCACCCAAAGCAAGGTGATAATGCCACTAAGACACAAGGGGCTACTGGAGATGAAAGAGAATAAGAAGACTTTAGAAGGATCTGGAAACCCAGTCCTAAACAAGGAATAAGAAGTAAACCTCTACTCCTGTTCAAAAGACTGATAAGTGTCTTTTTTTCTGTTTTCTTTAAGACTTCTTTACTACTCACATGCTTCATTCTTTATATTCTCAGCATCCTTCTGTAGAACATTTCTGTTGCTTCCAGTCTTTTCATCTGTGAGGAAATTATCCAGAATTTGCTGCTATATAGGAGAACTGATATAGCAGTCCTGTACTCTTTTCTTTCTGAATATCTGTTATCATTAGCTTTATTCAAACCATAGGATCCTTGAATCATCACTGCACAAAAACATCATGAGAATGGCAGCAAGAATTATTCCACACTGACCTTTGTCCCTGAGATGTTGTGAGTTTCCCGCGTGTCGGGGTATGAATTAAGACAAACACAGTTGTAGAGGAAAATACTGGTATATTCATAAACGCAATTAACAATAGAGTGATTAGTAAAACGAAGGTTGGTTAGTACGAAACAATATCCAAAGTCTATAGTCCAACGGTATGTACCGGGTAAGCTTATCTGGACTGCTCACGCTGACTCTCTCTCTCTGACGCTCCCCTCACTCTCTCCAGAGCTGACTTATATAAGAGGGACCAGTCCATTACTAGTTAGAAGGTGGGTGCGCCCCAACAGTCCCCATTTTGATGAAGGCAGGAGAGCACAACTGCCAAAATCTGGTAACAACAACAAAGATAAGGACAATAGTCTGCATGTAAATAACATTTTTTTTTTGTTTCTAATTAAATTTTTCTGTTTCTTAGTACCTTGCTTGTTTTTTTTCTGTTTCTTAGAACTTTGCATCTTTTATTCTAATGCATGTGAAGATTTCAGTATCACATTTTCTGAAATCAAATTTCATTAATTGTAATTTGTTCTAATTCACTTGCACATAACAACTTATCAATGCATAGCAGATGCAAATTCAGTAATTTTGTGGAGAGGACAACAAACATTTGTGTAGCACATGATTTATTTATCATGCATACAGCTATAATATAAACAGCAACAACATTTAATCAATGCTTCCAATCAAGACCAGTGTGTACTAACTCTGAACCCTCAACCAGGAAGATCTAAGCCTGAATGTGAGCCCTAGGCAGTGCTTTGTGACACTCACTATTTTATCAACATTTGCTTTTTTTCTATCTAAATTTATTTATGTTACAAATTAAACTAAGCACAACCATTTGTTAATCTTTGCAGATTTTGATGTCATTTTGTAGTCATTTTTTTGTCCAAATCCATGAAATTGTTTTGCCCATGCTAAATCTTGAAAAAACACTACATAAAATTCACTATTTTTTTATTCATAATGTTGAATGTTTTAAATAATCCACTTTTTAACAAGAAAAATCTCAAGTTGTTGTTAAAAATTGCTGATTTTTGTTGATTTATTTAAGATGGAATGATCCATTAGGACATGCCTCTAATTTAAGATGGAATGATCCATTATGACATGTCTCTTATTTAAGATGGAATGATCCATTATGACATGTCTCTTATTTAAGATGGAATGATCCATTATGACATGTCTCTTATTTAAGATGGAATGATCCATTATGACATCTCTTATTTAAGATGGAATGATCCATTATGACATATCTCTTATTTAAGATGGAATGATCTATTATGACATGTCTCTAATTTATATTTAAGTACATTGTATTTATTTTCAATTTTTCTAGTTAAATTGTTCACCGGTATTACATATGATCCATTATTATACATAATTAGGTTCCAGTAGTTTCATAGAGAATGAACAACATAGAATGGCTCAACACTTTCAACCATGTAGCATTCTCACCTCATTCCATATCACCTTTGAGCTGTTTAATTCATAATTTAACCAATAATTTAATCAACCAATAGCTGGTGGGGGGTGAGAAGAGGTGGAGTCATACCTTTTCAAAAGGTATTTGCATATAAGCGAATATAACGAATTCAATGAAAATCGGGACTCTGCTCTCTGATTAAGAATTTTGAGCCAATTTTACAGCATCTGATATTTCCAAGTAGTCACCCATCTATGTACTGACCAAGCTCAACATTGCTTAATTTCAGTAATCGTATGGGAATTGGTGTTTCAACGTGATATGGCTGTAAGCCTGAGAGATTTCAGTGATTATTTGATTTTTGAAAGAATTGTCCATTGCCCACATAGCTGCAGTTTCAGGGATTCAAGAGCAAAATTGCTATTTGAAAAAAAACATGGCTCTCCATCAGTGCCCATGGTACCCCATCTTCCCTCTAATTTCTACCGGGATGTTATCTAGGTAACATTCTATTCAGAACTATAAAAAGAAGGGACATAAACACACTTAGTCACTTTTTGCTTCAGGAAGTAGTTGGTAGAAGATGTGTTCAGTCTTCCACTCTGTCATATGACAAACCAAATACATTAGTGATTCGTAAATAAATTACTAACATGTTGACACAACAAAGTTAGACATGCACCATTGATTTTATTGTAAATGAAGTGAAAATTTAAAGTTTAACAGATTAGCAGGAGGAGCAATCAATTATGTACAATTGCAAATAAAATAAAAGTTGATTCTAATTGTATAAAGGAAGAGTTAACAGGAATTTTTAAACAGTTAAACTGTACTGTCACACTACTAGAGAAAAACGAGAAGGAGAAAGAATTATGCCTGATCTTTTATAGTCCTGAAACAGCATCACCTAGCTGGCACTTTGGCAAGCAAAATTGGAGTAATACCCATATATTTATTTTTATATTGTATTGTTCTTGAAACCTATCTTTTCCCTGTCTAGTATAAGACTACAGTAACACCATGCAAATTGATGCAACTTTGGTTTCAGTAGTTAATAGAATAAAGTTGTTACCCTTGCAGCCTACTCGTTTGGATTCAGTTGTCCTTCTCCTAGACTAATTGCCAAAAACACTGAAATGTCAGTTTAACCTATTATTTTACTTATATATGGGGGAATCATATGGAGTTGTCTCTTTCCTATGAATGTGAAGTGAATATAAACTATCTCAGCTGCAATTTAAACTTGACTAACTGATTCCATTTACTGAGCTGTTAAATGTTAAGCAACTCACACCTCCAAAATCTTTATATTGTTGAGGGGTAGAAATTTTTGTGAGAATATTCAACTCATCCACAATAAGAAGGGAAATGAACGTAGATAAAGTGTTAATCCAAAATGTTTATATTCCAGAAATTGTTGAGGTCATGTGTGAAATTTTTCTTCTTTTCATTTAGTCCAATTTCTGAAAACAGATTTTGTACAAGGAATAGACTAGACATAGGAAGATTTTTTTAATGACTTTGACTCAGACTGTTGTATCCAGCTGCTACTCATATTATCACATGGTCTTTTAAAGTGTGACTTAGATTGATTATTTGATATATTGTCTTTTTATTTATATCTCATGTGTAGACAAAATAGTAGACACAAAGAGCACAGAAATATTTAACAGAAAAATGCTCAGCTCGATTCTATTGTGTGCAAGGCTGGATTATACTTTAAGCTAGTATAGGCTGCAGCTGAGGGTCCTTGAAGCTTTTAGAAACAAATGATTTTAATTTTTTAGATATTAGAACTTCTAAATAGTTTCATAAGCTAAAATGATATCAATATGACAAACTCATATTTATTTGATTTTGCAGGAAGCAAAGCAAGGAAAAGAATGTTTTAGTTTGTGCCATTGTGTTTCATGTAGATAACATGCTTGATTTGAGTTACAAATGTTTAAATCTTAGAAATTTTTATAAAGCTGTGATTTTAATTTTCTAGATGTCATAACTTCTAAATAGCTTCATAAACTGAAATGATATCAATATGACAAACTCTATTTTGATTGTTTTATTGTTATAATGCTGGTTATAAAAAATCTGTGTTTCTTTTACTACAGTTGTGTTGAAATATGAAATAATTTGGTTTGCAATAAATCGTAAAATAGTAGTATTTCTTAAATGATATTTTATATTGACAAACAAAAGATAGCTATTATAGTTTATTTAAAGAATGTGCAATATGTTTATTTCAATCTATGTAAATCTCACTAAAATATATCTCAAGTAAAAAATATTCAGGATGGATGCTGGTGAGTTAGGGGTCCCGAAAGATAAAATCCGGCCCTGATAATATGTTACTTGAAGAGTATAAAATTTCTAATAACTTAATAATTATACATTTTTAAAAGCTGATAATTGAAGATTAATAATATATGTTTTAAATGCTGTGTAAGTTTTATCTTTCTACATAATTATATTTTATTTTAAGTTGTGTGCTTTGTTGGGATATCATATGTTGTTAATAACTTCCAATAAAAAAGGTGTTTTCATTTTGCCTGAAACTGATTAATTGATAGAATATATCCTGATAATGTGTTTACCTAATTTGATCTAATTTGTTCATTTTACAAAATCTTAATTTATACATATATTAAAGTTTCTCTTCACAAACACTACATTTAAAATAACTTATGAGTTTTACGAAAAAAAATGCCTGATGGAAATTTAAATTTTTTGCGAAATTAAAAAAATAGTTAATTTGATGCAGGTTTACTTTATTAGAAAATAGCATTATATTTAATTTATTCTTTAAAGAAATTGTTTAAACAAATTTAATTAATAGAATCTGAATGTTTAGAATTCAGGGGAGATAATAAAGTTTATTCTGTAGAGTTCCGGTTCTTGGTACAAATCAGTGTTTATCATCCAGGAGGAAAAATGTCTTCCTTAGTGGCTTATGCTTCGAGCGAAGACAGCGATAGCGAGGATGGCGAAGTTGAAGAAAGGAATGATTTGTCTTTAAGCAATCAGACAAAAGAAAAACCTCCAGAGAAAGATATTAACGTGACGATAACCGAACCTGTTCTCCGGAATAAATCGGAAATCTCCGCCACATCAAATAACCGTAGCACAAACGAAAAAACTACAAATGTTGGCGATCATTCCGATCAGAAATCAGAAGAAAGCAACATGTTTCGAGGTTTTTATTTTACTTTCATTACTTTTATAACATTTTCTGATCCAGAACTTAGTAATATTAATTTTTGGTGCTTCATTTTAATTCGTATTTTCCTTGTCTGCAATATTCCACGTGTTTGAGTTTACGTTTTCTTTTTGTAGTTAAGCGCGAAAAAAGTTTGTTTATTATTTATTTTCTTGGTCTATTTATTCGTCCATTAAATAAATAAAGATTTTTGCCTGAGACTGATGCCTTTTTAGCCTCTTTTATTTAAATAAAAACTCCGTTTATTATCGCTTACAGTATATTCACTCATTGTGTTCATTACTCTCAAATCTTAACAAAACTTCCCGAGTAGTTAGTTGGTTATCATCAGGCTTCGGAAAACTTCGTAGAAAATACGACTGCGAGCAATGGAATAGTTTTTTTTAAAAGTGTATGAAATCATTTAAATATTTGAACTCTATTTCTTCATTCGAAATACAATTCCATTTTGAAGAAGGTTAAAAAAAAAATTACCAAAAAAAAAAAAAAAAACGATTAAAAATAGTAGCCGTATTTATTTTTTTTCTCTAATTTTGTGTTGTGTGTACAGACTTGAAGTAAAAACGTATTTAAAATAAATAAATGGAGGTATAAGTTTCTTTCATGCAGTTGATTAACTTGTCCTCTTTTTTATTTAAAAATAATAATAAAAATTCAGTTATCAATTTTGCTTTAAATACAAATTCCACTGTCCCTCTTAAAGTTTTACTTTTAGGCGTATATAATGTAAAACTGCATTTTTTTAACAAATTTCATTTAATCAACATAGTAGCAAAATTGTTAATAGTCAATACTCAATACAAATCAATCAATACAATATCTCATCAAAATCACAAGGTCATGTTTTCACTACAATAAGCAAACACACGACCTAAAAAAATATAAAAAATGCTGTACACAATGCGTTGAGAAAGAGAGGAAAAAATATGATCACAACTACTTTTATTTATTTAATTAAGTAAGTATGTTGTTCAGTGCTACTGTTTTCAGAATGTTAAATTGTAGTATCTGGTTCATTACGTTCACTTACACACAAATACCATTGGGAAAGTTATGAATTCATTTCTTATCCCCCAGCTATGTGTTAAATAGCAGGACAGATTGGGTTGGCAACCAGTCTACTACAGAAAGAAATGGCACCCTGCTGCGAGGAAATAGTGATGAACTGAAAAATGATGTTGTGCCCATAAAGAAATACTTAAATAAAAAAATTAATTGTACTGTCAAAATTAATTATAATAAAATAATTAAAATTGTCATTAATTCACTCATTCTACTAAACCACATTCGATCTTACTTTTTTCTCTACACACACAAACACCTGTCATTCTCACTATTGGACAAGCAGTTCACATAGACAGGTCATTAACACATGTGTCAATGAAAATTTTGTCTCTTTTTTCCTTATTCAGACTATATTAGTAACATTTATCTTTTAATACTCAACAAAAATTTGAGGTAAGTAAACCCCAGACACTTTTTGTATTTTCTAACTAAATTATCTGGACACTCATTACACACATCTATAAAAAAAACATATGAGAAAGACTGTATGCACTTTGCTTATTCTTTATCTTATCCCTCTGTTAGATTCTGATCTATATTTTATCTACAGTTGACTCCTAAAGTCACAATTTTATTCAGTATTACTGTCTCCAACATCACATAACAACCAGATAATAAATAATACTTGTTTTGTTGTTTCCACATCTTGCTGTTTCTCATATTTACAAGTATTTTTTTTGTATATATAAATGTAAGTTAGTTTATTATTATTTACTCAGAGTTATAACTTCCCTATAATGTGATTGCCTAAGTGTGTATCATGTATGCCACTTGTTTATAAGATAAAATAGTAATTTAAGTTATGGTTAGAAAACATGTTTTGTATTGTCGCAAATTAGCAAGTGTTTATATAAAAATTTGGATGTATGGAAAATAATTACTGAAAATTGACTTCAAAATGTTTTTCATATTCAGAAAATGGCATTAATGTTTATTTGCAAGTTTTAGGAGTTGAAACAGAGAGTTTTGATTTGGATCCATTAGTTATTGGAGGTTTATTAGTTTTTCAGTATTATGGTGTCCTAATTGAGCATTTTATTACTGAAGCAAAATTCCTGAATATACTAACCCTAATTATATAGGTTTTAAAACTGATAATAATTTGATGTACAAGGGGGTTGTTGAAAAGTTCTCATCCCAGTTTACTTTCCAAAATCTGACCAATTGACCAAACATCATAATTCTTTTTGGAAAGACTTCTTGGTTGAGCTAAGAACTTTGTAATATCCTTCTATCATATATACCAGGTAATCCATCTCTCACAAATCCTTCCGTCTTCATTGATAGTTTGGCATTAAAAACTGTTGAGGTGTTCACATATTCTGGATCAACAGTCTCTTCTGATGGAAAAATGGACAGAGAGATCCAATCCATAATAGCCAAAGTTAGCACAGTATTTGGTAATCTTAAACATAGGTTATGGAACACCAAAGACATGTCTCTCAGAGTAAAGATCAACATATACAGATCAGTCATTCTCTCAACCCTTTTTTTGGTGCTGAAACTTGAACCCTGTACTGCAAACACATAAATCTTGACACCTTTCACATGAGCTGTCTTTGTGTCATATGTGATATAAAATGGGATGACAGGATCCAGAATGGTGCAATACTGAAGAAATGTAACAAGATCACAGGCATTGAAACCATTCTAGCAATACAACTTAGGTGGGCTGGTCATGTTGTGAGAATGTATGAGCATAGGCTTCCAATAAATGTGCTGTATGGACAACTACCAAACTCCAAGTGTTCAGTTGAATGTCCACTCTTGTGCTACAAAGACATTGAAAGATCTCAACTTTGATCTGAAAACCTGGGAAGTCCATGCATCAAACTGAAAGGAGTGGTGTAAAATATGTTTCATTAAGTTAAAGGGTTTTGAAGACTGAAGCACAGTGATCAACTTCATCAAGCTCTAAAGCAGAGATGCCATCAAAATCCTACTTTAACAAATTTCATCTGTCAGTGTGGCTTTGTTGTCCGCAGCAATACTGGACTAATATCGCACTTAAGAAAGCACAAATGAAACATGTCTTTCCCTTACTTGATTTTCTCCACAATAACCCCTGCTAGCATGCATAAGTGTAAAATGAAAGGCACCAACCACTCCTGGCCCTCATTTCTCGTTCACTGTAGGAGAGCCCATTATTATTATTATATATATATATATATATATATATGACAGATATCACCAGGTATGTAATGTGGGTAAAAATAAAATAATGTTGTTTTCAAATTTTAAATTAGAGGACACTATAAAATATTCTAAAAATCCACTATGTAAAGGAAAGGAAAACTATAGAAAATGCTAAGTGACACGATTTTTGGCATATTAAACAAGTGACTTGTTATTGCTGTTTTTTTTTTTTCTTTTTTTTGCTTATTTTAAATTATTAATTATTTTTATGTATTTTTTTATTTAATTTGATTTATCATATATGCTGGCATACTAGGCGACCTTTTAAGCTTAAAATATCACCCCCCCCCAAAAAAAAAGTAGGAGGTCATTTTATACTCTAGAGATAAAATGTGAACCTTAAATCTTGCGGTTTATGGTACATTGTTAACATGGGAGATTTTTGACAGTAGGCTAACCCTTTCCTTGGTAGCTACTGACACAAATATTTTCTAATAAAACAATTCCCATTATTATATTAAGGAAAATGTAGTGTAATAAAAGTACTGTTACCTTATATAATATGTGCTATGATTACACAACAATAATAAAACGCATATTCAAGAGAGAAATCCCAAACCATTCTCACACACTTTAAACAAAGCAATTGCTAGCCTTGGCTAAGTTCAAAGCATTTCGCCAGACAGTGTAATCAGAAAAAAAAAGATGTTTATAGTAATAATTCAAGGAATACACTGGTAATCCTAGTTTAGCATACTAGCCATTTCTTGTCAGAACATGGGGATGTACAAGCTCTCACTTTGTTACTAGCATTATCCAGAGTAACATTATTAGAATCCAGCTATCACAAAACCCCATCATGGCCCCACCAAATAACTATTTATCTGAGAACACTTGCTTGCATAATTTTTGTTTTTCTAAAAAAAAAAAAAATAATAATAATTTGTCCTTTTTTAAGATTTTTTCTTTTTTTTTTTTTCATAAGAACTTTTTGGCATTTCATTTGACATAATGAGAAGAATATGAATCCATTTAAAGATCTCATTTGAAAACAGTGGAATATGTGAATATTTAGTGGGGGGGGGGAGTAATTCAGGCTAGTGTAATAGCCTTCCGAAAACACAGCACCCACTCATGAGGTATTGTAGATTGTGTTAGTTAATTGACTGTATCTTTCCACCATTTTTTCATTAGAATTTGAGTGAAAAGAAAGTCTATGCTTACTGAATATATTTAATAAATTCAATACATTTTAAAATACAATTTGTGCGGGGGGGGGGCGTCTTGTATAGTGAATATAGCCTGAAACCTACATTTTAATTTGAAAATTGGGAGATTCTCTTCTACGCCAAGTTGCCTTGTATGCCAGTATATACGGTATTTTTAAAGGTCTTGAGCTAACTGATGTTTTAAAATTTTTGAAAATGTTTATGGTCATGTATATGTATATTGGCTTGAGAAAGGAGCATACAGTAACTTTTAAAAAAGGATAATTTACTCAATTCAAGGCTTAAATGCCACTCAAGATAGATGTTAAATTAGTAATGAGAATGAGGTGTATGATATGAATGAAAAAGATGTTAGGAAGTGAAGATTATGAGGATAGATAATTGTAATGTGGAAATGTATTTTCATTACAAGCAATTAAAAAGAGAGAAAATATGATTAAATTTGCTAAATGTTTTTACTTTATTTTTAAATTCTTTTTTTTTTTTTATTTAGGAAATTTATTTGGTTATTGAAATTATTGTAGTAATTTTGAGATATTACCACTAGCAACTGTCAAATTCATTTTCTTCATTATTTTTCCTTGGAAAATAATGTCAAAATGAAAACTGTATTTATTGTAAGTAAAGTGATGGAGCATATTTTTTTTATATATATCGAGAATAATTTTAAGAGAAAAAGTATGATAAAGTGGAAAAAGTTTTGTGCTACACAAAGTCTTTTTCCACTGTGTCATACTTTTTTCTCTGCTAAACATATATCATTTTTGGTTAAGGACCAAGTAAAGTTCTTTGTTAAGGACTTTTTTTTCTATATTTTGGAACATTTTTCTTGTTTCCAGTACATATTTAAATATAAATTGAACCATGTCTGAATGCCTTCAGCTCTTATAAGACATTATCACCAATAACAAAAATGTACTAATATCATATAAACAGTGAAAAAGACAATAATGACTAAAATATTAAGCATAAAAAAACAACCAAAAATCAATAAAATGTTTACAAATTCAGAAAACAACATACTTAATATATTTAAGAAATGAAAAAAGAACTCTGACATTACAAAGAAGCTATATTTGAAAATGATGATACTGATATAGCTCAAAAAATAAAACTGATAATTTTGGTTAATTTTCCTTCATTAAAATTTACTTTCAGAGATAAATGCATATTTTTTATAGTCTGTAATGACTTGCTCTCAAACCCAAGTAAAAACCATGATTTTAAATACCGATATTCAAGGCAGGAACATTCTTAAATTGCAAATTTAACATAATGCTGTTGTCTTATTTGCTTACAACTGACTTATGGCAAAATACTTTTCTGTTCCTCTACTTTATGTTCCTCTACTACCATAAAACAAAACATATAAAACAAACTGTCAGTTTAATATGCTTTGAAGGCAATAATCATAAATTTTGTAGCAGACATTAAACTGTTGTTAGTTCAAGCATAAATTCTGTGCAAAAGTTTGTATATATCATTTTCAAATTTTATAATTATGTGTACAACACAAAGGAATTTCTGAACACAACTGACAATTTAAGACCATCAAAAAATATTACTGTTGTTACTTCATATTCCGTACATGTATATCAGGAAGAGATAGTTGAAATTTCTGGGGTTATATAATAAGGAAAGATGGCTTGGAAAATTTCATACTCACAGGAAAAATTGAAAGTAAAATGGACAAAGGAAAACAATGCATAACCTAGCAAGCTATAGTAAATGGATGGCAGAGCAAGGTTTTGGAGAGATAACAAAAAAACAATTTATTAAGTGTTATAAAGTACAGGAAATTGTGGAGACCCATAGTCACAAATATTCTGAAAGGACATGACACATAGAAAAAGACTTAAGATACATTACCAAAGACAAATCCTTACTAATAATAAAAAGTACTATATCACATCAACTGTAAAAAAAAAATGACAGTTACTAGAATCATTAATCATAAAAGCCTAACAGCCCCAAATCAATAAAATGTTATCAAATTTAACAAACAACATATATTTCATCAAAATAGAAAATAAAACAAACTTTCACATTGCAAAGAAGCCATATTTGAAACTGATATAGCACAAAAAAATAAAAACTCTTTGATAATAACTTATGAAAGTTGAAAGTACTCAGACATTGGACATTTTTTATTTAAATGTGTACCAGAAAATAGAAAAATGGACTAAAATATAGAAAAAAATCCTTAACAAAACTTTTGCTGCTCTTCAAGCAAATTTGTATGAATGAAAAATTGCTGCTCAAATACACCATGTCTTTGTGTGAGTGTGTGTATAAAATCAGATATAAATAAAATATATCTGAAAACAATAAAAAAAAAGCTCTTTTCTTTGATTAACTTAGCTGATGCGTTCTGTCCTCTGATAAACTTTTTCAATACAGATAAATTTTTAGCTATATTTGAATTTTTATTCACACACACATACATATAATATAGATGGAGAGAGATGATGAGTCAATGTGGAAAAGCTTATAAACGATGCATTTTGTCATTTTGTTGTGTTCCACTTGTTCAGATCAGAATGAAAGACAAAATTGCATGTAAGAAAAATGCATTGCAATTTCTGAGGATAAGAGAGGCAATAAATTAAATTACCTCATCAGATCCACCAAATTTATTGCCCCATTTATCCTCAAAAATCGCAATGCATTTTCCTTACACACAGTTTTGTCTTTCATTCAAACCTGAAGAGGCCAATCATGGCACATGGTGAAATGTGTTGTTTATAAGTTCTTCCACTTTGTCTCATCATCTCCACTTTTGTTTGGATACTATTATACATCCTACAAACACTAATAAATAAATACACACACACACACACACACACACACACACACACACACACATATATATATATATATATATATATATATATATATATATATATATATATATATATATAAAAGTGATAGATAAAAAAATATTCCAAGCTAGTTGTCTCTTTTGGGCCCAAGAAAATTTTATAAAAGTTTCCTTTCACATTTGTAATCTCCAGTCTTTTTACTTTATGATAAATGGAAAACATTATGATAAAAACTTTGCTGAAAAGGAAAATAATTGCTGAAGGACTTTTTTTTTATCCTTATTTTAAAATGCTGTTTGATTTATTCAGTAGTCTAATTAAGTTTTATTTTAATACAACTTGTTTACCTTTCTTCATACAGTTTTACCAACACCATCCACAAAGTCTGCTTCTTCTGAAATTGTACCTGAAGATGATCTGGAAGATTTGGTCAAACCTAAGAAATCCCAGATGACCACATTGCCGAAACCATTGCCACTGTTTAATAGACAACGTGTTCAAATCACGATTCCAACTTTGGATTCTGTACGTAGTCAATTCTGCTCTCAAATTATAATTCAAATGAAAATTAAAAATTATTGTTTTTCTTAATTAGTAATTCACTGAATAAAATCAGCTGAAATCATTCCTTTTATTATATTTAAATGGTTATATGTCTGTTATAGATAAATTTGTCTGGTTTTTTTTTTATAATTAATTTAATAATTATTATTTATTCATTGTTCTGATGAATCATTCAACAATCTATTCCTCTTCATTGTTTATGACCTCCTGCCAACAATCCACCAACTGTTCAATGCCACGATGATCAAAATCACTAGGTTTTGACACAAAAAAAATTCATCAAGCCACATTTTAAAGTTTTTTAAAGCTCCACATCATTGTTAGAAAGCAATTGAAAATGTTTTAGTCTAAAGGGGCTAAATTGGAAGAATTTGGTGGGTGTAGCAGAACTTACCAACTGAGCTCAATTTTTTTTCTTTTTTTTTTTGTATTTATGAGTGCCTTGGTCTTAAGCGACTAAACTGGTAGCAATGGAAGAGTGGTGGAATTTGTTTCTCTCATTCAGTGCATGTGGCACTCATGCACCATGTTTCTGGACCTTACCCATTAGTTCTCATCAAACTGATCAGATTGGCCAGATTGCAGAGAATCTGTGAGTTTGAACTTCGCCTGCTTGAAATGGGGAAAGCCATTTCTGTGTCATTCTGTTGGTAATGAAGTTGTCTCTATACACTGCATAAATGTATTGACCAGTTTTAGTAACTTTGTGACTTTGATTAAAAGCAAAGAGCTGATGTTGAACAGAACCTATTGTCTACTTCTCAAATGGGTGTCTAGTCTGAAATAAAATTTCAATAAAATTAATTAAGTTTTAAGGGATGACCAGAGTTATTAAGAAGTAAAAAATGCTACAGAAGATTATTCTTTGAGATTCTTTGCAGAACATCAGAAAAAACGAACAAATATATGTAACAAGTTAGTTATATATATATATATATATATATATATATATATATATATGTGTGAAGAAAAATATACAGAAAAAACAAACAAAAAATCTTAATATGCAATTATGCTGTATTAATGTTAATATAAAGTCAACATCGGACGTTTCGGCCTATTTTAGACCATCAGCAGGATATATTCATAAAACATAATTAACATTAGAACATATAAAATTCAACATGAAAAGACGATGGACATAAGAGCACAACTAATCCAAACAGATAACTGAAATTTTTATGTAAGATCGGCGTTCCGTTTAAATATGATCACGTCGTCATCACGTGGGCGATGTTGTGAAAACATATTCAAAGATGATTTCAAAATATTAAAATATTAAACAAGTTCGATTGAACTATTTTCTCATATAAACAGTTCAAGAAATCCCTTCCGTTGATATAGGAATACGCAGAGATCAATAGGTTCTTATATCTTCATAGAAGCTTGAAGTCCTCCACGTTACAAAGCAAATCAAAAATGATTTCAAAATATTAGACAGGCATGATGGAACAATTTTAAACAGTTCGTTAATAAATCCTTTCCTTACTTTCTCTGCGTAAAGTTCTGCCAAATTATATATTAATGGTGATAAGACTTTAGTAAAAAAAAAAAATATATATATACCAAGATAAAGAGGATGAAATTTACAAACCAAATTAAGTCCTTAATCTCTACTTTTATTTATTATTTTTTTTATAATTTCTTAAGCTAACTACAGCAGTGAACTACTGCAAACCTAAATCTAAACTAAAAATCTTCACTTCCAGTGGAATGATGAGATAGCACTTCCAGTTTTGGGTGAGAGATGCACTATAATTTGACCTTATCATAAAATATGGCTGTCAGATGAGGGGCCAAGCTCATTCAGGGGTATCTAAATTGTCAGCTGTATACAACTGTTTTATCAAATCAATGGCTTCTAGCAAATGAATCCTGTAGGTTTTAGTGAGGACCATCCTTTTAACCTTATGGATTGACATTACAAAATCACAAAGAAAGAACTATCAAATAACAGAAACCATGGCACTTGAGTAAATGATTTTTATTCTGTACTACTTCAAACAAAAGGTTAAGAAGGACCCCCCCCCCCATCAATACTGGAAAGAGCAATAACAGCTAGTGGACTTGAGGAACCTATTTTTCTGAAATAAAAATTATTTTAATAAAAAGATTTTATAAATTTCAACAGTATTATTATTGCTATAAAATGTTATATTTTAGTGGATTCATGTGTTTGAGTAGATGCTTTGTTTTTTCAAACAGTGTGTATTATATCTATGGCCTGTGCATTCAAATGTTTTAATAATGAAAATGTGCCCTCTGACTGAGTTTGAACCTGCATTCCCTATTGTAGAGGAAATTACTATCTGATCCAACATGCTTTAGACTAACTGCTTGGCCACAAAGAGCTTCACAGCGCGGCAAGGTCCAATTACACATTTTTAAGAAAAAAGCCCATATCTACTCAGTTTTCTCTCCAAAGGAGGATGTAGGTTTGAACCCTGTCAGATCGCACGCTTTCTTCATTAAGACTCTTTAATGCACAAATTGGTAGATGTAAGTCATACAGTTTGGAAAAAAACAAATGGGTATCTACTTTAACACATGGAAGGAGGAAGTTATGCTTGTGCAGCTTCTTCCTCAGAACTATTTGTGAAACAAGACTCCTGAGAAGGTACTTCCCTAATCACTACAATCTTTACTTCCTCAAGTAATAACTTTTGCCACTCAGTGTCTCTTATTGGACCAATGAGATAGAGATCTGAGGTGTGCTAAGTCAGGTAGTGATGAAGAAGTGGAAACCTGCTGTAAGGAATTGGTTACATCAGCAGTCAGTTGAGTTTTATGAAGCTGGGATACATACATGCCCTCATTCATAGGGGGAACACTGCCACTAAAAACTCTGGTGACTGTTGTGAAGTAGGGTTATACAGTTGTGATGTATAGCTATACCTTGATTTGCAATATGTTTGATTGTGTTCCTTATTTCTTATAAAACAAATTGCATTACTTTTTGACTCACCCTCGTAAAACTTATTTGCCTGAAATTTTGCTGGTTGAAGCTGAAACTTTATTTGAAGATTGGAGTTCGATAATAGGATTTTTTTGTTTTGTCTTTTGATTATAAATTTATGATTTAATAAGTTATATATGGAACTTTTATTGCAGTTTTGTATTAAATGTACAGTGCTGTTCGATAAAAGTGACTCACCTGATTTTTTTTACTAAATGTTCTCTTCTCCGATGAAACGAAAGTTTAGCTAAATTCAAAGGATAAGCGATCTAAAATCCGAAGAAGAAGCTTTGAAAGCTCTTTGAATTTAGCAGTAAGTACTGTCAAGCATCCATTCAGTATAATGTTCTGGGGATGCTTTTCTTTTCATGGAACTGGTTTCTTAAAACCTATTGAAAAGACCCTCAGGAGTGAGCAGTACAAGGGGATTTTAAAGTCTTGTCTCCTTCTTTCTGCTGAAAGGGTGAAAATCGACCCCACCAAGCTCATTTTTATGCAGGATAATGTTCTCTGTCACAAATACTTTGATGAGAAGCAGGTGAGTGTTATGACATTGGCGCCCCAATCTCCTGACCTCAACCCCATAGAAAACTTATGGAGCATTATAAAGTACAGGCTCTCGAGAAAGCAGTTGAGCAACCTACTCCATAAGTTTTCTATGTCGTTGAGGTCAGGAGATTGGGGCGCCATAACACTCACCTGCTTCTCATCAAAATATTCCTTCATCAATTTTCATTTGTGACAGGGAACATTATGAGCTTCGTGGGGGTCGATTTGCACCCTTTCAGCAGAAGGGAGCAGACAAGACTTTAAAATTCTCTTGTGAGTCACTTTTATCGAACAACACTGTACTTCCTTCTTCCCTTTGTAGTTGCTTCCCTTAGATATTGTTTGTATAATATACACTTATTTCCCTGAATCATATCAAGACAAAAATACTTGGATTTCGTCAAATGTTAATCATCTATTTTCTTCATTTTAGGATTCAGATGAAGAAGAAATAGTAACTAAAAAGAAACCAAAACTTTCTGTAAGTATTTTCTTTGTCTGTATTTGAAAACAATGTCTTATTTTAATAGATTATCAATAAAATATTTTCATAAGTGATTTGTGCACACAAAGGTCAGTTGGTGCATAAGGAAAATGTAAAGAGCAATTTTTCTAGTTTCTTTATTTCTAGTTTTTCTTTCTCTCCCTCTCTTGTTTCTTTTTTTATTTTGTCATTTTATCCAGAACTAGAATAATGCTCATAAGAATTCTGTAAGAGAAACCAAAAATATTTCCCACCATATAATGTGCTTCTTTCATTTGGCAAGGAATATTTAGAGGGGGGGGGGGAAATGATGATTTGACATCCCTTAATATTCACCTATCATGATGAATAGGAGTTTTCTCAGGCATGCCCTTTCCTTATTCGGGCTTAAACTCAGCCCAGACTGCAAGTGAAACTTGTATATATGATCTGTTGCTAAAGATACTGAAAAAATGGTTAATTAAGTATACCACTCCAAGAAGGACCTGACACCTCTACATTTACAAGAGACAGAACCGGCTGAAAATGGAGTACTGCTGCTATCTATAGGCAGGAGCTGCCCAGTCTTCACTTTTTAGTCTTGATAGTCCAAAAGCATCTCCTCATCCTTGTGAGTGATGACTTATTTTCCACCCTACAATCCCTTTTCCACAGACAAAATATTGCAAACCATTCGCTACTCTATTGCTATTTCCATGAAAAGTTTTCAGATGAAATACATTCCTTAATTCCAACAGATCTAACCTTTATGTCTCTGACCTACTATGCCATACACATTGAGGCAAACAACCTTCATTCACTTGGTATTCCAATGTTGAGATGTAAGTTCCACTCAAACAGTTTCTTTTCTTTTTCTTGGTGGTAAAAAGTGTACCTTATCTAGTGGAAAATGTGTTAGATGACTCATTTTCTGTATTCTATGATAATTGTTGTCATTTTATAATTCTATATATTTGCATTGTTCTTGATATTTACAAAGAACGTACTATGAAACAAATCCAAATAGTAAAGAGGGAACTATAAAAAGGCTGTTTTTTTTTCAAAATTCTGGCTTTTGTTTGCATTTTGCTTTTGGAGATATTGAGAAATGTAATTATCTTCATACATATATTTGTAATGTTAATTCTTTTTATTGTTTAATCTGACATCACTCCTATTAAACTTCAGTGCATAACTTTTTAACTAGAATTTTTAGAAACCTAATTTGACTTCTTATCTTTTATAAACTAACTTAAAAGCTGTACTCCATGCTGACGTTTAAGCTAGTGCAGGGGGTGCCAAAAATCTGGTCCATGTTAGAAAACGGCAATGATAATTTTGAATAAATAACTTTGAATTCCTCAATTCACTTCATGGAACTTCAAAACCTCACTTTAACTCTGAATCAGGCTATTAGTCCAATTTGAGTCAAAAGTTCTGATTTTTGCCAAAATTCCAATTCAGGCTGAAAGTTGAGTTCTTTAAATTGCAAACTCTCCGGAACTTCAAAACCTTACATCAACTCTGATTCCTTGGCATTTTGAAGAAATAAAATTGATTTCCTCAATTCACAAAGTTTTGGAGATATTTTAAAGTGAATTTAAAAGAAAAGTTTCAATGTTTTTGTTACTTTAAACTCAATATAGATTATAAACTTTTAAAATCAGTAATTATTTTTAGTTATTTTAAAATTTGAATTTTTAACTATTAAAGCACCAGATAAAGGGTAGATTTTCAATTCCAGGATCATCCTGATTCTAAAAAGGTATAATATGTCTATATAGAGCAAATGTGGCCTGAGTTAGAGGAGTTTCAGACACATGGCTGGACAGACAGAATTTGCTGTTCATTTATTTAGATTTGTTTATACATCTGTTCATCACTAAATGACTTATCTGTTTAATGACCCACCACCAACTGGGTTTATGGCCAGTTATAAAATCTCATAAAAATTAAAAATAATTCAAACCCTTCCATATTATCATTGTTTTCTCTTTCTTCAAAATTAATAAGAACAATATTTTTTTATATTCAGTCAAATTATCTTGAATATTCATGAGTCTATCACACCAACTATCATAGTCCTGCATCAAGGTCGGAAGGTCGTTAAGGTAGCATTCTGTCATAATATAGCCATGTCATAATATAGTAGGTGGTTGCTGGGTGACCAACTTGTTTTGCTCCATGGGAAAACATGTCTAGAACTGTAGACCATTTATGAGTTCTTGTTTTGCTTGCCAGCAGTGTCCTGCAAAACACATTCTCTATTCATGTTATATTATAGAAACATCAGGGATGGATTCATAGAGCTGTGATTTAGTTGGATGTTGTCTCCTAGGGATATTAAGTATAGCTCCCAGCATCTGAGTGTTAAAACTGAATTCATAGGCTTCAACCTGCAAGACTTAATACAAACTGTCTCAGGTGAATCAATAAAATCTGTTGAATCTCTTATATCAGTGAGGTATATTCTGTTGACACTGACACTAGATTTGTTTTTGAGGCAGGAATAAATTGTGGTGTCATCCGCGTAGATGCCAACTTGGGAATTTATGGCACCAGGAAGGTCATTTATGTAGAAAAGGAATAGAGTGGGGCCTAGGATGGAGCCTTGAGGGACACCTGCGTTCGTGGGATAGGAACTGGAGGGGTAGGAGACTGATATGACGGTAGTTAGAAGGGTCAGAGGGGTCGCCAGAGTTCTTGAAGACAGGAACAACCGAAGAGGACTTCCAGCAGTCAGGAAAACAAGATTCCTTGAGGCAGTAGTTGTATAGTTTAGAGAGGGCAGGCGCCAGTTCAGGCGCGCATTTCTTCAAGACAATGGCTGGTATCCCATCTCCACCACTAGCCTTGTTGGGGTCTAAATTGGAGATAACGCCCAATACCAATGACAAGGTTATGTGTAACCCCACTCAATAGGGCTTCAGTTCTAAGAGGGAAGTCGAGTATGGGTACACCGGAAGAGTCGAGTGTTGAGTTGAATGAAAATTTCCGTGCAAAGCATTAAGCCTTATCAGCAGAGGAGGTCAGAACTTCGAACTGGTATAAGACAATCTTGAAACTGTTTATGTTGGAAGCAACGTAACACAGTAATGGTTATGCAATACATTAAAATTAAGCAAGTGAGTTTTTGAATGACACTAAAGACAGATTTATTTTAATAACAAATAACCATATACTTGATGTTTTCTTCACTATGTCGCATGTTTAATAAAACACTTGAGAAGAAAGGAAAAGTTCACTTATGAACATTGAGGTGTTTGTAATAAATCCCTAGAGAAGAAGGGAAAAGTAGGTACTTTGTTGGAGAATCTATGTTGGTAAAGCGGGAAACGTTAATTTAGTTGATGAGTTCACAACACAGAATTCCCTATTCTTTTTGTATCGTTGGTATTGGTAGCTTCCAGATCACATGTGCTGGTTCAAAAAGAAGCCTTTCAATAATGTGAGGAAAGCACTGTCAGTAGTCCAACAATGATATGAATTTAATTTTCAAATATCTTAAAATGCTGCCAGAAGTGCCATTTGGAGCCTATGCATGAATGTCTGATTTTGGTCATTCAACTCCTGATTTTGAGACATCAACTTCCAGTCAATCTGTCAATACCCCCACAAGATTCTTAATTGAGAGGTACATAGTTTTTAAAATGTTTAGGCTGCGAAACTCTTCTCCCAGATTTTGTGGAATGCAGTACCGTGTTTTGTGGAGTGATCTTCACTTCCACCTGTTGTGTTTGTGATGTAATATCACCTGAAAATATTGGTGACTGTGAAATTGTCATATCTTTTGTGTCAGTGTAAATTGGTTTGATTCTATCAATGGATATACTTTTTTCTCTTATCACTGCACAGAATTGTAAAATATTTATCTGCTCTGTCACAAACAATGTGACGCTAATGGTTTCTTGGCAAAATCATTGTGTACAAAAACTTTCTCGCAATTGTCTTTTGGGATATAAATTTGTGTAACCACTTATCTGGTTGGTGAAATTGCAATCACAACCTTTTTTGACTTCAATCCTTGTGCAAATATTGTAGACGGTTGCAAGTTATTGTTATTTTCAAAAAATTGGCCCACTAAGGCCATGCTGGCACTAAAAACCATTTCTGCTGAAGCACATCGCAAATCTTGTTTTGTAGTGTTTGATATTTTTAATAAAATCAGTGGCAAGATTCTGCCCAATTGTTTGGGTTATTCCTAGCTGCTAATGCAGTTTTTAACTTCTGATGAAACCTCTCCACCATACCATTTGGAGCATGGATGGTATGCTGTATGCCTAGAACTCTTATGAAGTCCTTAAATAGATTAGACTGAAATTGAGGACCACATTCTGTTAAGAAATGTGGCAACAACCTTTTCTGTACTGGTATTTTGATCAGGTATGCCACCGACCATCATGAGTAGCAATCAACAACAGTGAAGATGTATTGATAACCTCTTCAATGTGTAGGAGGCTCAACCATGTTTGATCTCCAAAAATTTAATATCAATCATTATCTTCTATTGTTTTAATTTCTGTTCTTTTATTGTTCTTAATTCTTAATAATGTTTTTCTTTTTTTTATATTCTTTTTCACATGGTAACCCCCAGGGTTTTTAGTGGCTTTGTTGCCTTGCTTCAAGTGAAAAGATTAAAAAAAAAAAAAAACTAAACACTTGTTTTTTTTTTTTTTTTTTTTTTTTTTTAAACTATTTGAGTCATAATGTGATTTTACGTTTATTGTGAAAAAAAAATATTCGTTTTGCCTTTTCTTTTTGTAGGGAAGTGGTAATCTTCTTGAGATGTTGCCGCCTCCTAAACATATGTCTGTAAAACAAGCGAACAGGACCTTAATCCCTCATACATTGAGCAAGAAGCCCTCAACATTGAACAAAATGAACACTCCTAAAGTTCAAAATGTTGCTAGCAAAAAGTCTCCTGCTACGGCTGCTGCCAAAATGTTGACTGACTACAACAGTGATGATGAGGATGAAGACATTGCAAATGGTTCTAATTTCTTTTCTCTGGATACAGGCAAAAAGACTCAAGAAGTAACATATTCTACTCCTTCTCCACAAGTGATAAATAGAAAATATGACAACTATTCAGTTCCTCCCCCTCCCCCTTTAAATGTTTCAACTCCAGAATCTTTTGCTCAGGACAGCCATGTAGACAGTAGCCAGCAAGCCACACAAATGCAGGTTTATCCTCAATATGAAATGCAGGTATGTAACATTGTAGTTTTCTTGGTTGATTGCAATATTTTTGTTGTTTTATTGTTGCATTCTTTGAAAAATTTTAGGAGAACAGGCATAAGCTGCCACAAAGGAAATTTGGGTGTCTGGGAATTACGTGGTAGGTGAAGAGAAAGTTTTTGTGTGAGATATAGAGTAAATTACAAAGACAAACTTATTGTAACTGCAATAAAATCTGCATTCCGTTGTGATAGGAATTTTTAAAAACCTGCGTGAATGCACTTTGTTATAGTTATTTTAAAATTTATCTGTTGTTATGGATTTTTTGGAAAACATGTTTCAATATATGGGAGCTGACCAGAAATTTGTAGAAATGTAAAATGGCATTAAATGTTATGCACTTTAATATGTTGTTGCTATATTCATAATAGATTTTGTAGAGGGTTGGTTAATTTTGATATTGAGGTATCACAGTTACAATAAGTTTATCTTTGTAATTTACCCCTGAAGATGAACTTAGAAAAGATCGAAAGTACTTGGGTTAAAAATAATCTATACTGCCTTCCTTGATGAATTTCAACTTACCATCAAGAAACTGATTAGACAACTGGAAAGGATCAGTATAAAAATAAGTAAATAAACACAATATGTCTATATTATTAAATGAAATATACATACATACATACACACACACACACACACATATATATATATATATATATATATATATATATAAATTGTATGACAAAGTGGAAAATTTTACTTGTGATGTGTTTTGTCCTACAGGACTTCATCGAGCTAAATTCATATGTTGGTAGGACTACACATGCACACAACAGAGTGGTGCTGGGAATTTAAAATATATATATATATATATTTTTTTTTTTTGTCTGACATTCATTTAGAGTTTTTTTCTCTCCATCATTTTGTTAATAGGTATTCCACACTATGATATTAGAAAATCTGCCAGAAATGGTGAAATCTTGTAAAGTAAATAGATAAACAAAATGCTCAATGACTTCTCTCCCGTTTTTGTCGTTTAATGATGTGTGTGTGTTTGAGCTGAGATGGTTATTCTTTACAAAAGATCTCTTTTCTTCCTTTGAATGCACATTTTGCCAAGAATCTCTTCTAAACTCTAAATAAACCAATAAGAAGCCTGATTTGTTGCATTTGTAACACTCCCTGCCAACAGGGTGACATCCTTGGTCACTGGTACCAAATAATGTAACACCTTTTGCTACCACCTATACCCAGTGATGTAACCACATTTAGTAGTTCAGTTCTTGGGTCTTAGGATGACGTTTTAACCACGGGCCAATGCTGACAATGGTCTAAATTGGTTGTTGGTCACTGGCTGCTTTAATCCACACTGTTTCTGCCAATGTTGTGTTCTTGATCTCAGAGCAGTAGAAAATTGAATGTCATCATAGTCTTGCAGTGCTGATCAAGCCAAGGTGGGTGCTATATTAAGGAAAAAAAATATCTTGACAATGAAAAAATAAAACGAGAGATTTGTGGGTTTAATCTTCAATTGGTTTATATAGCTCTTGGTACAACAAAAATTGAACCATCCTGCATCAACCTCTCTAGTGAAACCATGTCTAAACTTTTGGAAGGCTGGGTTCAAAGTCCTAGAATCAGGAATTCTGGTGGCAGCTGAGGTGGATTCCAGAGCACTTGATGCATCTTCTCAGCCAAAAGTCTTTGAGCTCGCCAAAGTCATTTGCTTATATGCACTTCAGCCTTGGAGGTTCATTGATTCTTTAATTTTCATTAATTCAAATAAGGGTTTTCTTTGTTTCCTATTTCTGCTTTCTTAATCAGCTTTCCAAATTTGGAAAATTATCCACCTTCCCTGGGGCTAGTCACAGGGATTGCTTTTCACTTCACTCCCACCTGCTTCACTTCACATCTCTCACTGTAAACTTTGCACAGGTGGGGTTAAACTCTGTCCCTTCCATCTTGGTATTCTAACTCTGCCCATTTCTTAGGGTGCATAACTGTCTTTGTGACAAATCTAATTTTTAAAATGCACAGGAGAAAGGGTGTGGTTTCTTGTCATTAATTTCAATTCTCTGATTCCTTTTGCACAAATTAGAACACCTTTTTGGCACAACATGATTGATCTTCATGACCTCAACCCTAAGAAAAAAAGGTTTGTTCTTTGTTTTCGTTTTTGTCAACGAAAAATGGGATTCTCATCTGCTTCTCTTTCTGTTAATAATGTGTTTTTCTAATTTTTCTAGGAAGAGATAAACTTATTTCCTAGATCAGTTTTTGTCATTGAAAATACATTTGCTTACCTAAATTCTCAACAAAGAGACTTTTGTTTTCCATCCCTGGAAATTCAAACCAGATCATCTTCTTGGCATGACATGATTAATCTTCATAACTTCAACCCTAAGAAAAAAGGTTCGTTTTTGTCAATGAAAAATATATGTGTTTCCCTAATTTATCAAGAAAGAGATAAAGTCATTTCTCAGAATCTGTTTTCATCTGCATGCCAGACTCTTGATAGATAAGAAAAATAAACTTTTAGGAGAGAAGAAATCTAGATGTCCCATTCTCACTGAGAAAAATGTCTCTACTCTATTTTCCAGCCTATATTTAATTTTGGGATTATTCTGCTTAGAATTAATGTTTAATCACCTCCTCAGTGTCACACATTTATTGTCTATAGATTTGTTTAAAGTACATCTTCTCTATGGAAGTTTGTAAACAGTTTAAATTATTAAATTTATTTGCTAAATAAAGGGTTCTGTTTGAAATTACAACTAATATCACCTGAAGAAGGCTGGAGCATACAACAGCCAAAATATTGTGAGTATGGCAATAAAGATAAGGACAATATCTCATCTCAGAAATATAGGCAGTTCTTTACTTTTATTTGTAATAATCATTTTTGTTGTGATGTAAGTGATTGAATGATAAGGATACAGAATGTTGACACTGTCATTTGTAGTCAGGAAATGTTTCTTGCAAATTTGTAATAACAGACACTAAATTGCATTAAATAATTCTATCGACTACCTGCAATTATTGGGGCTGCTATGCTATTTAGATGCTAGTAAAAGTGATTTCTAAGTGAAAAGTCCAATGGATAAATCTTGATATCCTTTGTAAAACTACATTCATAGTATGTATGTCCCTGTTAGTTCTATGTATAATGGTAATATTAGCAGTTTCCATACAAGGAAACATAATGCTATGTGTTGTGAAAGAATGTCATCAGCAAACAAACTCTGAAAGATGTCACTCCCCAGGTCTAGAATAGAATGCATTTGTAAATGATTATCAGGTTGAAATGCCTGAAGGAGCCTTTCATAAAATCATTGATCATTTCATCCCAAACAAGGCAATAAAGCCAATAAGACAGAAGGGGGTTAATAAGTGCAAAAGAATAAGAAAAATATTATTAAGGGACAAGAACAATAAAAGACGAATGAAAAAGGCAATAGATAATGATTGACATTGCATTTAAATTTTTTAAGATCAGAAGAGTTCCACAGGCGAGAAAATAATCTGTTAGCAAAGAATTTAGCCATTCAACTGTAAAATGATGAGACTTTGTTGCCCATTTAGCACTGCACTTAAATTCATAAAGTTTTGGTACCATCAAAACAATTACCATGAAAGTATTTATAGAAAAGGCAGAGGGAAGCTACATTACAGTGGTGAGAAAGTAACTGAAGCTGGAATGCCAGGTTAGGACCAATAATTCATCTTTGGCTTTTATCAAGAATCTCTAAATATATAAAAGGTGTATCAGACCATATGTGGCAGCAATATTTGAAACATAGAAGAATGGTAGACTTGGAAATATGTAAGATAGATTCTGTAGAGAAAAATGTCTAGCACTATGCAGTGAACCATCTTTGCTAGCAACAGACCTAGCAATTGATTCAATATAATCTTATGTCAGCAGAAAACGTTAGCCCAAGAAGTTGCAATGAATCACTCTCCTGGAGGTTAGCATCAGCCATGCTGGTGGAAGACAGAAAGAGGTTCTCTCAGATATTTAATCGAGAGCAGTTTTGTTTTGGAAACGTTAAAATTAACAAACTATTCATTACACCAGTTAACAGCAGATTTTAGGTCACTTTTGAGATCGGCTTTCATGACCTTATCAAACTGATCAGAATTACTATTAAAAGGTACCAGAGATGAAAGCTGATTAAAACAGATCCTTCTCATTCCTTGGTGGAACCCCCTACTGATTGATCATATCTTCAGGAGTGTAATCGTACCCACCGCACTTAGCCCACCTGGTGAGGCTATTTTAAAAATTGTTGGAGTTTTCAATACAGAGTTGTCCTCCTCCAAGACTAGTTGCCACCCAAGGCTATAGGACCCAGTCTGTCTTGAAATTTGCACATAGCTAGGGGAGAAGTAATGGATTCATACCTTTCGCAAGGGTATTTTGCATGTAAATGAATGTAATAAACTTGCCTGAAATTTAAACTCAGCTTTCCAATCCCTCAATCTCAGCCACAATCCAGTGGTCCACCATGCATATTTGTATATATTGTTTTAAATTTACAATATTTATTGAGGAAGAGTACAGTGTGTGTGTGTGTGTGTGTATAATATATATATATATATATATATATATATATATATATATATATATATATATATATATATAAATAAAATGTAATAATGTGCCATATTGATTATAAAAATTTAGAAATAATAAAATTATTTTAACTTTATTTGACACCTTAAATTGGCATAATTTCTCTTTGTATACACAATCAATCTCTGTACTTTGTTTAAATTTACTTTTCATGCAATTTTTATTTTCTTTTAAAATCACCATTCTTCCTGATTACTTCACATAGTTACTAAGACATTAGGGAACCTGATCTATGTAATATTTGGAATATGTCTCAGTATGTGTGATAGGAAAAAAACCAAAAAAAAACCATAAGCAACGAAATGTGCCCCACTTTTTAATTACGGTTTTAATTAGACAATATCAGTTGCAGTTGTGATGAAAAGCAAAATTAAAGTTTAAACCTTTAACA